CTGATTACATACAGTATTCCTGACATGCCCCCCCTGGCATAACTATTTTTGGTAGGGACCATTATATACATATTCATGGCCTTTTGCCGGGACGATGATGTTGAGATATGTTGAGGCGGGCAGCAGCCGTTCCAGGAAACCATTAAGGAATCTTTCTGCTGGTCACCATTTGGCTGCGGGGTGGACGCACAAAACCTTTTGGACGCTGAGGGGCATGGACTGGCTTGCCTGGTCAGTGGCAGCTTTCATCAAAGTTGTAGCTACTACACCAAATGTACCGGTATACTTGCCTATATGTATTGCTAGAATCACGTTTGACAAAAAAAACATGAAACACCTATATATCATATACATATCCTATAATCTATATAGAGGACCTAGGCACGAGAACCAGGACAATTCCACTTCCTCTTTCCGTCGCAAGGTGGTTGCAAAATGTTGCATGCTGCTTCTGCGATTTGACAGAGTGCAGCATGCGGGCGCCGTGTTTTGATCCTTTTGTTGTGCGCAACACGACACAACACAACATTTTAGTTATTTAAGCACACTCATATATCCCATGTTCAAACGGTTGATCAGCTGCGGCATCGAATTCGTGCACCAAACAAAGACGAACACACTTTGCTTGGGAAGCGACTCGTGAAGGATAGCTCATGCAAAAAAATGACATAATTAGGAAGCGTCTGATACTCAGAGTTCAACAGATTTATAAAACTCAGGAGTTATTCCTCTCCAAAAACGAGTCCAGCTAAAGTTAACCTTGAACTCTGAGACTCAGTCCTTGCTACATAATTTTGAACACTCCCTGGAATCATGATGGTAGTGGAAAGTGGCCCTTGGATGCCCATGTTCCTGACGAATATATGTTTTGTTCCGCTTCCATGATGATCCCAGGGAGAGTCACTGCAAGCCCACACAATCACAACAGCGGAGACCTACGGAAATCGAAGGATTTGGAGACCCATGATGGAACGACCCAAAGAAGACCCCCCAGCCTCTCGACACACTCAAGTTCCTATGTCAACTCGGTTGCAAAACTCCAGTAGTGGATTGATGGGATGTTTCATGGGGTACAGTGGTTCAGAGTAGATGGCACTGGCACCCCAGTCGATGTCTTTTAGATGGGGATCCATATAAACCACCGACATTGGGGATTGTGCCATCTACTCTCAATCCACTGTAACTGCAAAAAATGAGCCCCTAGCCCCAACCCGCTTCAGCTGAGGTTCCTCAAAGCTCACCATTCGCTTTTGCCTCTCGTCGTCACGATAGTCGTGAGTCGTGCTGTCCACGAGTTGGGGCGCTGAGTTCAGCGGGTTCAAGGAACAGAGTGTTTTAGAACAAAATGACCAAGGCGATCCTTCGGAACAAAGTCTCCACGAAGGTTAAAAGCGGATGACTTGACATGAGCAGGCCAAGCGCCTGCTTAGTCTCCAGACCGAGCACGGTCTCTGGACCCCAACAGCTCTCAGGCAACCAACCCGATTCCGAGCCACAAAGCAATCCATTTTCCAGTGAGTCATCCAGGACCTTCAAAGTGACCGAACTTGAGATCCTAGAACGAGGTCACAAACAGTCCCTAAAGAGACTCCAAAAAGGTCACTTTGAAGGTCCTGGATGTTCGTTTAAGATCATTGCATAAGGGGATCTCAGCGGACCGCTGCTCGGACGGAGCCGACGGAGCCGTCGTGGTCGCAGATGGGCCTCATGGGCACCTGGGCACAAGTGGTCCGAAATGGTCCGAAGGAAGGTGAAGGTCAAGGTAAATGCTACTACTAGCTTCTTGTTCCTAGTAGTAATGCCAGGAGCCCCGTTCGTAGCGTCCTTGCTCCTAGTAGCGATGCCCTTTGCTCCTAGTAGAAGTGGTGGGTGGTAAGGAGGAACTTGACAAGTTGGAATATGCTAAGCTGATCAGTTCCTACCTGGTTTTCTTCACGTGCAGCCTGCTTCCAAAAAAAACTTGCACGACACGAATCATATCTGGGCCAAATTTCCCTTTTGGCCAGGTGGCTGATAGATCTGAGATCTTGTTGCGAATGACCACGGTAGGGCCTGGCATCAACCAAGGATTGTGTGGGGCTCACGGCCATGGTTTCGGAGACAATTGGACACAACTGGCACATTCACCGACCAGCAGTTCCGCGCGTGGACGTCTCCAACATGTCATGGCACGAAGTGAAGCGAATTCATGGAACTTGATGGCCAAACCCAAGCAGGAATGGGGTCGCTACACATATATAACTATAAGTATTTACAGCACCTATTACCAAAACAGCTGACGTTGCACACTTTGTTTTGGCTCTCTTCTGTCAGTCAAAAAGGCTACACTATCCAAAGTTATAAAGTCAAAATGAATCAAAATGAGATTGTCCAACCCCAATATGGAATGATCCCCCTGCCAATTTGGTCCAATCCAGCTTCCTTCAGCAACACGAGCAATCTCTCAGAAAAAACCTTCTCCCTTGAACCAGCCTACACTGGGTGCAAAACCCATGCTGCTGAAACAAACAGCTACTGTTGGCACTGAGTGTGAGAAGTTGCAGCCCTTTTTCGGGCCGCCTGCCCCCGTGCGAGCCCCGTGCTGCCTGGTAGCTGTGTTTGTTCGCTGCGTGGGTTGTGGGCGAAGAATTTGCCATCTGTTCTTGAAATTGGCTGTGTAGTTTATATTGTCTAGTTCTCCGGGCTATACTTGGAACAGGTGCCATCTACATATGTGCTGTCACGCCAACCCCACAAAAGAAACCCACAACATTGAATAGTTAGGGAGAAGGAGGGGTAAGCAGGGAGAGAAGAGTGGACGGAGTAGAGAGTTCAGAGGAGACAGGTAAGGACAAGCAACTTAAGCAAACACCATGTGTTCTGTTGTGTCATCTGTTTGCAAATGCGATTGTTTATATATATATAGTCAAAACCAAGCGGTGGGCAAAGATTTTGCCGCTGACCGCATACAGAAAAGACCCAAAGAGCATAATTGTTCTGGGTATGACAGAATTTTAGCAAGCAGTTGTGGTTCTCTGGCATGGAAACAGGTGGATATAAAGTGATATAAAGATCTGAAGTCCTGCCTACTTACTGCGTCCATTGGCAACCAAACAATGGTCCGGTGGAGGGGGCCGAAGGCTGCAAGGAACGAACCGAAGCGACAAGAAAGGTGACAGGAAAGGACTGGACAGAACAGGAGAGATCAGGAGTGAGAGAAACGGGAAGAGCGGGAAAGGACATGTCCAGAAAAGAAAAAAACACATGAAGAACGCAAACATTAAAGAAACAAAGGAAAAGGAACATACAGCAAGAGAAGACCTATACCTAGAAAACCCAAGTATGGAAAACATCTCAGCCAAGAAAAGTCATTGTTGTGTAAACAGGTAATTGCTGCGATCAAACCAGTCAAGGGTATGCAACATTCATTTTTCTCAGCTGCTTCCAGTCTGAAGCCCGGCGTATTACACCTATGTGTAGTTTTTCACTTAAATGAGTCGGTTCCGGCAAAGGTGCAAGGATACCTTTCGATGGCCCTTAGGATCGCCTGCCTGCTTGCAACCTGTCTACTGACACGGCTGGCTCTCCCAATAGCAACTTTGTTGGCTGCACAATTCCATTTCACTGACACGCAAAATTTGGACAGTTTGACAACTTCATACAATTTCCCTCGTCTCAAGAGTGGTGTGAAAAAAAAAGATTTGCGTTTGGGCCGAAATCATACACAACCTGTAATGCAGTTCGACCCCGTCTTAAGGAATTCCAAAAAAACTACTACAGCAAGTTGGCTGTGTTTTGCTCATGCAACTGGTGGAGAAGGGTTTCTTCCTCATCAGGGGGCTGCGCAACATCATGCATCGGGCAGGGCATGCCTTCAACGCCCTCACCTCACACAGAGTGGCGAAGCTCGAAACAAAGGAGTTGATAGGAGCCAAAACGCGTGGCCACATGAAATGAAGCCTGCATGTACCAATGTACCAGAAGCCCCTGAAACAACCAAAAGTGTTACATTCAAAACATCCAAGCCGTGTCCGGCAATTTCCGCAATTTTTCCGGTGATTTCCGTCATTTGGACGGTAAATTCTGTAGTTGTTTTTTGCTCACTCCTGCATGGAAGTTGAAATGTCCACGGAAAAAGCGGAAATCTCGACTTATGATCGTGCGGTTGTCTGGTCCGCCGGTCCGCCGGTCCGCTGGTCCGCTGGTCCGCCGGTCCGCCGGTCCGCCGGTTCGCCGGTCCGCGGGTCCGCTGGTCCGCTGGTCCGCTGGTCGCTGGTCCGCCGGTTCGCCGGTCCGCTGGTCCGCTGGTCCGCTGGTCCGCCGGTCCGCTGGTCCGCTGGTCCGC